CCCGCCAACTCCAACAAGCCGCTGACGCCGTTCAGCATCGAGGACATCCTCAACAAGCCGTCCGTGCGGCGAAGTTACTCGCTGTGCGGGGCGGCGCACCTGCTGGCCGCGGCGGACAAACACGCGCCGGGCGGCTTGCCGCTGGCGGGCCGCGCGCTGCTCTCGCAGACCTCGCCGCTGTGCGCGCTGGAAGAACTCGCCAGCAAGACCTTTAAGGGGCTGGAGGTCAGCGTCCTGCAGGCAGCCGAAGGTAGGCGCCGCCATCGGGGTCCCCTGCGTCCCCCTGCCTGCCTCATCCCGCGCCAGCCGCCAGGGCCCTTCCTCCGGAGTCCCTGAAGCTGGGAGAGAGGAAAGGTGGGGCAGGACCCCTAACCCTATTTCCGAGGGACGTCTGGGTAGGCCCTGTCCGCACGCTCTGCGTGCTCTGCCCAGCTCCTTCCGGGTCCCAGTGGCCCAGGCGCGCCCAGTCCTGCTGACAGGGTGGGGGACCGAGAGCCTTTTTGCTGGGACCTTCAGGGTAAGGCAGAGCTGGGGTGCCTGCGAATGCGTCCAGAGCTGGCGGGGTCCCCACCGAAGTCGGCCTGGCCTGCCTGGCTTTTCCCCCACTCCCAGAGAGCTTGGGTCTTTCTCAGCAACTCTTAGCTAGGGGCCAGAGACCACAACCCATTTTCCTAGGGACTTCCTGGGGAGAGTTTGCTGTGAGGAGGCTTGCCCTAGCCCAAGAAGCCCACTTGATCTGAGCAGGAAACGGTGGCAGACGGCAGGCCCAGAGGGCCTGGGTGGGATAAGGTGATGGGGGTGAGGGCTATGGGCTGAGAACCAGAGGGAGGGGGGTTCCCCTTTGCCTGGCGAAAAGCTACACTGTGGTTTCCTCGCAGGTCGCGACGGGATGACCATCTTTGGGCAGAGGCAGACCCCCAAGAAGCGACGGAAGTCGCGTACGGCCTTCACCAACCACCAGATCTACGAGTTGGAGAAGCGCTTCCTCTACCAGAAATACTTGTCCCCCGCCGACCGCGACCAAATCGCGCAGCAACTGGGCCTCACCAACGCACAGGTCATCACCTGGTTCCAGAACCGGCGCGCCAAGCTCAAGCGGGACCTGGAGGAGATGAAGGCCGACGTGGAGTCCGCCAAGAAACTGGGCCCAAGCGGGCAGATGGACATCGTGGCGCTGGCCGAACTAGAGCAGAACTCGGAGGCCGCGGGCGGCGGCGGCTGCGGCCGGGCCAAGTCGAGGCCCGGCTCCCCGGCAATACCCCCAGGCGTCCCGCAGGCCCCGGGCGCCGGGCCCCTGCAGCTCTCCCCGGCCTCCCCGCTCACGGACCAGCCGGCCAGCAGCCAGGACTGCTCAGAGGACGAGGAAGACGAGGAGATCGACGTGGACGACTGAGCCGCGCCCTGGAGCTTCTGCCGCCCCGGGCCCCGAGCGCCCGCACGCCCGCCGCCTCCCGGACCGGACTGCCGCCGAGGGGAGCTGGGACCCCCTCTGCAACACCCACCTCCTCCCCGGCCCCGGCCCCGGCCGCCTCTTCCCTCTCGAAGCAATAAACCCGGGCTGGCCGGCCGGGCCGGCCGCGCGAGCAGCCTCCGCCGCCCCGGGAGCCCTGGCCGCGCCATTCTGTATGGCTTCTGTACAGATATGTAAACCAGGAGGGCCGGCTGCTCGCACCGCAGCCTGGCTTCCTTCTTTTATTTTTTCAAACCTTGAAGATTTCAATGTTTTCCAAGCTCTGGGCTGCCGGGTTTGCCGAGGACTAGGCCGCAAAGAGGCCCCTGACACGAACCAGGCTGTCTGAAGGAGGCTGGCGCCTGCTTTGAGTTTTCTCTGCATGTGACGAATGCATCCTGGGGCTCTCTCCTTGGCCTCCTCGGCCTCTTGCCATTGACTTATTTTCTGCCTTTTCCCTCCACACACGTGGGCAGAGGGTGAGAGGGGCAGCCGGTCCTGACTTGCAAGTTTCAAATCGACCTTTTTTCCCCCCATCCCCAGAAGTCTGTTCCCCACGCCGTTTTTGCCTCCCCTGCCCACAAACCGCTTTTTTTTAGACCCCTAGCGTGTCACAGCTTCCTTGGACTGCCTGCTGGGGTCCAGCACTAGGGGACAAAGCAGGGGGGAAATTCAGTCAACCAAGCAACCAACCAACGAAAAACGAACCCAAAGCCCTAGAATTATTTTTTACTCTTTTTAGAATTTTTTTGCATGTGACAGAGACAGAGAGGAGACCGGCCAGCGCCCTCAGCCCACTTCCTCCTCCTTAGCTCTGGGCCTGTCTTGCAGCTTCCAGCACCCCACTCCCAGCTTGATATGGCCAGAGGAAGGTGGCCCGTTGAGGGTGGTCCCGCGGGCCCCTCCCCTGCTCCCGCCCTGCCCCTCCTCCTCGGACTGTACCCAAGGCCTCTTTCTCCGATAAATAAAGTCTTTGCCATTTTATTAGAGCCAGCGGTGACCGTGTCTGAGTGCTGGGCCGGATACTGGGAAGTCGTAGCAGACTCAGCTTCCTGCAGCTGCTGGTCACCCCACGCCCGGATTTGGGAGAGTCTTGGGGCAGATGGAGCGTGATGGGCGAGGGGGAAGCGGCGCGGAGAGGCGTTTCTCACCCCCGAACGCCGCAGCTCGTAAATGCGGGCAGAAGCGGGCTTCGCCAGGTCCGGGTAAAAAAAACGAGGCGGGAGGCGCTGGGAGAAAATTCGAGTGTGCGCTGGGGGCGCCACCGGAGCAAAATTAATTTGTATGGGACAAGTGGTGAGGAAAGAGTTGCCCTGCGGCTCAGAGAACCCTCACCGGACACAACCGCCTTCTCCAGGCGTGGCTCAGCTCCCGGGGGACATAGGGTGAGCTTCCCCTCGGGGGGCGTAGCAGGCCCGCGTTGCTCAGTGCGGCAGGCCGCAGAATGTAGCCTGGGGATGCCCACGTTTGGTTCCCGCCTGAGGGTCCGTGTCACCCCACAGCGGAGTGCGGCTGAAGGCCTCATTGTCTAGCATGCAGGCGCCCTGAAGTGCGGGCCGGATTTGCTTGAAAGTTGGGGTAAATGCCTGGTAACATCCAGGAGTTCTGGGCTCTTCATCGGGCTAAGGGGCAGAGACCAGGAACGGCGAGGGGACTGTCTGGGGTCCCGGTCTCTGGGGTGTCTCTGGCAGGGGAGCATGCCGCTTTCACTTTGCAGGACAGGGCGGGTTTCTCTAGGGGCTGCGTCTGGCCTGGCGAGTGGCCGCTGTCACCAGAGTGGGGTTTCGCCTTCAGGCCTCTCGGCTCTCTTTCTCCGCAAAATTGATGTGAGAAATAGGCATCTGGTGGCGGGCAGGCGCTGGGCCCCGGGGCCTGAGTCGGGAACGTGTGTCCGAGAGGAAACGGGGAGACCTCCAGCAACTGAAATCGAAGGAGCCCCAGAAGACACACAGAAAACAGACAGAACCAAGTGGCCCGGTGGCTGCGGCGGGAGAGAGAACGAGAACGAGGAAGCCACACTGTGACCGAGAGACGGACGGAGAGAAAGCGGTCCGGATGGTCGGAGAGGAGCTACCAGGACGCGCAGAGTGCAGAGAGCGGAGGGAGGCCAGGCGGCGGGGCCGGCGTGCGGCCGGTTCCTCCCGGGCGACATAAATCGCCCTCTCTTAGGATGGATGGGTCTGTAATTCGGAGCGCGGACCATGAAGGCCGGGACGAATGGGCCCGGGCGGCCGCTGACAGGCGACAATAGCCGGGCCCAGCCCCCCGCGGCTCCGGGTGCGGGCGCGGCCGCGGCCCTCCGCAGCCCAGAGCGCGCCGGCGCTGGCGACCATATGGTTTTTGAATTTTCTTCACAATTTGTAGACAATTTGATGGATTAGGTCCCCGCGCGCGCCTCCCCGGCACAAAGGCGGTGCAGGGACCGCGGCGCGGCG